TGTTGTAACTTTACTGAAATAAATTTCTTTTCTAAAACAGTACTGAGTTTATCAAGTTAATTCATCTAAAAAAATCACGAATCTAACATAAACAAATCCTGCATTAGAAAAGCAAATCCTACAATGAATAACTGTTGAGCTACCAACCTATGTATTCACGATATTATATGGGATATTTCCCTTCACACGTACCCACAATCCCAGGAATTGGAAGCATGATCATGTTTTTTTTTAAAGCTATTTAACCAATTATTTCATATAAAATAATTGTTTGTCTTTTTATCTTATGTCTTGGACTTAAAATGACTTAAGTCCCAGCATATTTTTAAATTTTAGATAATGAAAAGTAATTATATAGAATATAAAATAGATGTAAACGCATTGTTGTGTTAACACAAGACTGATATGGATACTTTACTGAAACAGAATGTTTCAAACTTAGTCCATACCTAAATGCGGATACCATCAGAGTTTGTCCATTTTGCCGACGAAGAAAAAATTTACACGTATTTTTATGATAACAGGGTAAGATTTTGTAGAAGAGTTAAACTTTTTTGATTATATGTAAATATATATCATAAGTTGGTGTTTTTCCTTTTAATTAAACCAAAATGAAATTAAATTAACCTGTACTTGTTCCCCACCCACGTTACTCGTTAGGCGTTTGCGAATCATGATCAGGACAAAATTTATTTTTCCGTTTCCTGTTCAGCAGTATTCAGACTTATCTTACTAATTTGAAAATTTATTGTTTAGGTGTTACAGAATGAAACTTGTTCCATGTATGTCTATACTTTAACAATAAACCTGCCAGCTAGGGTAAAAATACTTTATTTTCGTACCCATAACAGTTCGACCCTTTTAATCAGTGAAACATATAAAGATATGGAAAGTCATTTTTGAAAAACTTCAGTGTCTATTCCAGGAGGTGGGATGGGGGATTCACACATATTGTTGAGAATTCCCCCCTATTTTTTCACAGGAAGGGGGAAAATTTTACATAGAAAAAGAAGGAAAAAGATCAACAAATGTAATAAAGACTTAAAGTCTCTTTTTTCAAAAATAATCCCCCCTGTTTTTAGAATCTTAGAATAAAAACTGTAAATTTTGACAAATTAAAATGGAATTTAGCTTTCCACAGTCAGTGTTGGAGCTGTACTTCTGGAGGCTTGACAGAAATAGTGATTACAAGCAGAAAATTTTGCTCTTTTTTTTTTTCGTGATGATTACTTTTTTTCATTCATATAAATCTGATAAATCATATGTAAATCTGTTTGAGAAAGTGAATTAGCCAACTTAATGTGCTTTACGGTGGGTTAAAAGAATTTGTCTGGTATATACCCAGGGTTGTCATTAAGAGGCGGCAGGAGGCCAAAATGCCTGTCTCAAATGCATTATGGGCCGCCTCAAAATCAAGAAAACACTCTTTGTTATTCATGATAAAGACAGAAATGACCGCCTCAAGTTCAAAACAAACCTTCTGCAAAAAATGTTAATGACAACCCTGTATACTGGAATACAGTATTTAGTGTGGTGCTTTAACACATTTTTTAGTCTCGCTCAATAAAAATTATTATAATTTATATGAAATTATTACCTATGATATGCAAACTTCAACAGTAAAGCAGTTATGATTACTTTGATTGTAATAAGTAAATGCAGCAAAGTCAAAGACACCAAAGTTTTCCTAGTGTTTCTGAATATCTTGTCAGCCGTTTCTCAAAATGTATAGTTAAAAAACTAACTTTGTAGGTTTGTCATTGTTACTTTAGTTCTTATCAATGAAAATAATATAAATAACATTTCTATACTGTATTTCTTCATCATACCTCTACCAGAAGAGTAATCTAGCAACAGTCTGATTTGTGTAGACATTTAGGTTCAGTGTTTTTATGCTCCCGGAAAAAATTTCGGGGGAGCATGTAGTCGCCGCCTTGTCCATCCGTCCTTCTGTCCGTCCGTCCGTCCGTCCCCTTTTCTTGTCCGGGACATAACTTTGAAACAACAAGAGGTATCAACATGAAACTTTGTAGGTAGATAGATCTCATTGAGTAGGTGTGCAGTGCACAAGAACCGTAACTCTGCCTTGCCTAATTTTTGAATTACCCCCCTTTGTTTATTTTACACTTTGAAATTTGTCCGGGACATAACTCTAAAAGTATAAGAGGTATCAACATGAAACTTTGTAGGTAGATAGATCTCATTGAGTAGGTGTGCAGTGCACAAGAACCGTTACTCTGCCTTGCCTAATTTGTGAATTATCCCCCTTTGTTTATTTTACTTTTTGAGCTTTGTCTGGGACATTACTCTAAAAGTATAAGAGGTATCAACATGAAACTTTGTAGGTAGATATATCTCATTGAGTAGGTGTGCAGTGCACAAGAACCGTAACTCTGCCTTGCCTAATTTTTTAATTATTTCTCTTTGTTTATTTTACACTTTGAACTTTGTCGGGGACATAACTCTAAAAGTATAAGAGGTATCAACATGAAACTTTGTAGGTAGATAGATCTCATTGAGTCGGTGTGCAGTGCACAAGAACCGTAACTCTGCCTTGCCTAATTTTTGAATTATCCCCCTTTGTTTATTTTACACTTTGAACTTTGTCCGAGACATAACTCTAAAAGTATAAGAGGTATCAACATAAAACTTTGTAGGTAGATAGATCTCATTGAGTAGGTGTGCAGTGAACAAGAACCTTAACTCTGCCTTGCCTAATTTTTGAATTATCCCCCTTTGTTTATTTTTACACTTTGAACTTTGTCCAGGACATAACTCTTAATGTATAAGAGATATCAACATGAAACTTTGTAGGTAGATATATCTCATTGAGTAAGTTTGCAGTGCACAAGAACTGTAACAGTCTTGCCTACTTTTGGAGTTATTGCCCTTTGTTCATTTTGAAACTTTGAACTTTGTCTGGGACATTACTCTAAAATTATAAGAGATATCAACATGAATCTTTGTAGATAGATAGGTCTCATTGGGTGGAAGTGCAGTGCTTAAGAATCATTACTCTGCCTTGCCTTATTTTGATGTAATTGCCCTTTGTTTATTTTTACTTTTTGACTTTTGACCTGGACATTACTTTAAAACTATTAGAGATATCAACATGAAACTTTGTAGGTAGCTAGATATAATTTGATAGAACTGCAATGCTTAAAGAGCCTAAACAAAGCCTGGTCTAATTTTGGAGTTATTGCCCTTTGTTCATTTTTACACTTTGACTTTTACCCGTGACATAACTCTGATATCATCAGGTAACTTTATAGATAGATAGATCTCATTGAATAGAAAAAAGACATAACTCCGCTTGCCTAAATTTGAGTTTTTGCCCTTTGTTCATTTTTTTTATACTTTCCTGTGTCCAGAACCTTCTCGGGGAGCATCACCCGGTTCAACCGGTTCTTGTTTTTCACTTTTGGGGGATGGGGGTCGGTGCCCTTTGGAGGGGAAAAAATGCAATAGGAGGGGGAATTTTATTTGGTTACTTATTTTGTATTGTTTTCTTTGCGGTGGAAAAGGGGAGCAATTCTTGCAACATAAGTTTAAAATACGTCTCTTTTTCTTAATATTTGGATCTAAAATATTGATGCGTCGCATGTTAAACTTGTTGGGATGCCCGGAGTAGCTCCCCTTACCTACCAGAGAACAATTTGTAAACAACCTTGCTTAACCAGGCTGGTGAAAATGCCGGATAAAAAATCATATTTCTAGAAAAGAAATAAAGATATTTCTTTTAAAACTTTGTTTGTTACTAAGAATAATATTTGACATAAACAGAAAAAAAGATATTTGGCTACTGTCACTTTTGTGAGATTTATTTCCCTATTTTATGTTTTTATAACACATAATTTTTGAAGTCCTTAAAAAGTATGTTACATATGCAAAGTGTAAAACAAAATCAATTAAATAACTTCTTTATACTCTAATTCATTGTGCCAACACCTGTCAGCATACATTTCATTCAGTTCTCAGAGAAAACTTCAAAGTATAATGTTCAGTTTCAAAGAATTATCAAAATATAAATGCCAGAAACAGAATATTTAATCCAAATATATAGAATAAAGGTATTGTCGCAATAATCTAGTGCAAAATGAAGTTGTTGGACACATTTTTATTCTAGAATTTTACATAACAATATATTTTTATGAACTTCAAATATTTTTTTCTAGAAAATGGGGAAAAGGGAAATAATTCTAAGAAAATGAAAAATAACCAAAATATTTTGATTTTGATTTGTATCATATATCAATGCTTAATAAACAAATCAAGTGAGAAAGAAACATATTTATTATTTTTCTAGAAATATGATATTTTATGTCTAAGCCTGATCAGGCATTTTCTCCAGCCTGTTAACAGTAACTCTTACAGGCATAAAATAAAACATTTTCCGACTGTAAGTTGCAAAAAAAAATGATATTCATTGCAGGCAAATACGGGCTGCCTTTTAGGGGAAACTTATGCTTTGAGGGCGAAAAAAAACATAATATTTTGAGGGGGAAATAAGGCCGAATTTCGCCAAATATTTTGGTGAAAAAACCCCACCGAGGTTGAATGCTTTTTCAAAAGCTTCCTGTAATCTAAATATCAATCAGATATAGAACCAGTTCAAGATTTTACAAAATGGCTTCGCCCTGCTAACTTAGGATTGTTCTCAAACCTGTTAAATATGGAAGAAAAAAACAACAACAAAAAACACAAAAACACAAAAAAAACCACCACACATTGATCATTATTTTGTGAACAGAAGTGCATCATGAAGTTTAACAAAAGTTTTTATTAGGATTTGTTAGGAGAAACCAACATTTGCCAAGTTCTAGATAACATCTTAACTTCAGGCAAGATATCCTAATATTTATTTTCTTTGCAATTTTAATCATCACAGGTAGCTACACACTGAGCTATCAATGGCTGATGTAAAGAAGCTGGTTTTTTCCATGATCCGGTTCTTACAGGACCAGAGAACGCAACTAGAGGAAGAACAAGCCGAGAGTTTAGAAGGTAAAAATAAACAGTTGAATTTATTTTTGATTCTAATTTAGTGAATCAGTATCAATATGGAAAACCTTGCAATTTAAGTAACTTGAGCAATTAGAGTTGGGCTGTGATATTGATAAATGTTTATTGTACACCAGGCATTTGTTGTTTGAAAAAAAAGTTAAGCCTTTTTAAAAAGACCAGTCATTTTACAAGACTTTTGTTTTGAAGATCTCATTGAAATTGTTGACTTGTGTGTTTATAGTTCTGATTATTAATATTATATTTTTAGTACACGCATAATCATATTAACTTTTCTATCTGGTTTGATCAGAGAATCGAGCTGCATGGCCAAATGGTTAATATTTCAAACTAGTAATCTAAGGATTGCTAGCTGCATGACCCCTATCAGTGGGGTTAGACACTGTTTCCATGAGCAAGAAATTTTACACTTATTGCTCAGTACTAGTTGGTTCTTCTAATGGTTTATTTACACTATCATTCAAGGCTTTCATGATTTCTTTTATTTTTAGTCGCAATTCAGTGTTTAGAGTCATCATATGGTATTGACACATCAGATGAGCAAACAGTGGCCAAGTATCAACTACAGAAAAATCTGCTGGATATTTTCAATGCACAGCTTAATGTAGAGGTAACTTGCAACTTTTATTCTTTTAACCTTTTTATCCGACCAAGCATGTGTACTATGTTTCAAGGTTGACAGATTCTTTTACTAGAAACCCATTACTGGTTATAGAAATTAAAAAATTTTCTCAAAATGTTTATTAGGGGTTTTATTCCTTTCGTTTATATAGTAATGTTAACCAAAATTAAAAAAAAAACAACAACATATATATCTGGACCTTTTGTGCTGAAATGTTTTAAAGGGACATTATCATGCCCATCCAAGAGTAAATGGTGAGTGCACAGGTAAAAGTCCAAACAACATTAAATTTTGTCAAAGTTGTCTTCAATCTGATATTTTACGATGCAAAAATAATAATTAATGCACCAGGCACACAGAAATTTCTATAAATACCGTTTAGAATGTATCAGTAGTTTAGTCACTTAGAAAAACCTATGTTTTATATTGTTACAGACAGACCAGGAATTTTCCACATTATCACTTCATGAGGCCACACCTGAAGAGAAAGAAGAGGCTGAGGTTCTGAAAAACAAAGGTAATTTATGTAAAATTGATGGGAAGAAGTAAGAAAAATAAAACTTTTAAAGAGCAATGATTTTACCTTGGTGATATTGGCTGTCTAGGTTGGAAGTTAAACATATACTCTACCAGGATATTGCCAATTTGGTCTGAGATGGTTTAACCTTAGATGCTAAATGTTTCAGGTGACTTTAACAAATGATTTTCTTCAAGGGGGCCTTTGATTTTCTTGTAAGAAAATGTTATCCAGTGAGCTTAAAGAAGGTCTGTTGTTCTACTTGGGTGACTGCTTGTGCTGGAAATATTGTACAAAGGGGGGCAGTTGCGGTGTTCATCCACAGAAGTTGCATAGCAGCCATATGACATTTATATTGTTGTGACTTTATACCTAACCAAAAGTAAAATAAAGTTGTCTTCAAATCGAAATGAAAAAAAGGCAGTCAGATAAAAGTTGAAATGAAAACACAAAATTATCTGGAAAATAATATATTTTTGTTTTTGTTTTCAGGAAATGACTTCATGAAATCGGAGAAATTTTCAGACGCAATACAGTGTTATTCCCAGGCATTAAAACTGGATAATAAAAATTCTGTTTATTATTGTAATAGGTAAGTTGATACGATATCATATTGTAATTGTAAATATTTCATCTAGCTATGTAAACTGTGACTAAAGTACTTTTGAGAATGACCTCTGTAGTGCTAAGTGTTTATAAGTTTCCTTTAAACTATGAGTAACTAAAGAACAAATTTCCTCTTAATTTTCTTGGCAAATTTTCATTTGTTAAATTTCATTTACATGTATTATAAACAAAGAATGTTTCCTTATTTGCTCTCAGCTTTAAATTTATTTCTTTTACCAATTTTACATATTTCTTTCCTCACTTAAATGACAGTAATTTTATTTGACTGTTAATAATTGATACTTGAGATACTTTGGAATGAAATTTAAGGAAACATTGTCTTAAAACATATAAAAAAAACCCAAAGAACATTTCGTTTCTCTAAAAAAAAACAAGAAATACATTAAACATCATATGCATGTGGATGAGTGGTTAAGGTTGTTGACTTCAAACCACTTGCCCCTCATCTCAGTTGGTTTGAACCCTGACAGGGATTTTGGATTCTTTCATGTGAGGAAGCTGACCAGCTAGCTTATGGAACATCAGTAGTTCTACTCAGGTCCCTGTTTGTGCCTGAAATAATGCATGGAAAAGCACCTGTTGTCTTCATTCATCACTTAAGCTAGAAAGCCGCCATTTGATCTATTATGTGTTGATGCAGTGTAAAACCCAAGCAAAAACATAAATGAATCCTAACATATATATTTATCTGTTGTGTTCTTAGAGCTGCTGCCTACAGCAAATTAAATAAACATAAGAATGCTATAGAAGACTGTCAGAGAGCACTGACTATTGATCCACTATACAGTAAAGCTTATGGTAGAATGGGGTAAGTAGTCAATTAGCTGACCTGTAAACATATGTAATTTGTTGATAGTCTGTAATTAACTAATTAGCATATAAAGTATTTCTGTTTCTGTTGAGAAAAGTGAGGTTAAAAGTTCATTATTGTTACTCATAATTATAGAGAAAGAAACCTCTTAATGTATTTGCTAATACTCGTACATGTATTTTAGAGTAGAAAAATAAAAACCAACACAAAAATGAACAACAGCAAATAATCATATCATTTCAATATAAAATAACTTTTATATTACTGTTTCAGTTACTTTTTGATTGAATATCTTTAACTTAAAATTATTTTTTGAAAACTAACATATGCTCAACAAGCCTTATTTTAATTATCCTATTGAATTTTAACTTATTCTGTAAAAGTTCATATTGATTTCTCATTTTAGTTGTATTAATTATTCATCTACATTTTGTAGAATTTTGTAGTAGATTTGAATATTTGTTTTATGGAAAAGAGAAAATATTTGATTTTTTTATTATCTCCCTTTAACCATTTAATCATTTAGTCAACAATCCTTAGAACACTAGTCTGATGCGTTAAAGAGACTTCATTAAAGTTTATGTACATGACAGGACTTGAAATATTTTTTGAGGTTTTTGTACTGTTTGTAAAAGGTCTGGACAAATAACATGTGTGCAAAGTTTTATATAATTTGCTAACTCACTCACTCTGTTTTTCTAAAATTGTCTTTTTTATTGCGCAATATAAATTAGAAATGAAAAGCATTAAATAAATGCTTTAAATTCAAATCAGGATAAGAAGCAAATAAAAAATCCATTTTCAATTTAATTCTGAGTATATTTTCTTTCATATCTTCGGTAAATTTTTCCCTATTAACCTTTCATTGCCCCAGTTTATTTATGTAAGAATTTCAAAATATATATTTTAATGGTTTTGAACCGCTGCAGAGTTCCTTTAACCACAGTCCACATAGCCATGTCCTGTTATCCCCCGCCGATGGAATCGGGAGGGGGATATAGTTTTGGCGTTGTCCGTCCGTCCATCCGTCCGTCCCAATTTCGTTTCCGAAGTAGTTCTCTGCAACTACTGGCTGGAATTCAACGAAACTTTATGGGAATCATAAATATCAAGAGGAGATGCGCATATCGTCGGCTTGTTCCGGTCCGACCCTTTAACTCAGAGTTATGGCCCTTGATTAGTTATGTAGTATGTATATAGAGTAAAAATCGTTTCCGGAGTAGATCTCTTCAACTACTGGCTGGAATTCAACAAAACTTTATGGGAATCATCAATATCAAAAGGAGATGCGCACATCGTCGGCTTGTTCCGGTCCGACTCTTTAACTCAGAGTTATGGCCCTTGATTAGTTAAGTAGTATGTATATAGAGTAAAAATCGTTTCCGGAGTAGTTCTCTGCAACTACTGGCTGAAATTCAACGAAACTTTATGGGAATCATCAATACCAAGAGGAGATGCGCATATCGTCGGCTTGTTCCGGTCAGACCCTTTAACTCAGAGTTATGGCCCTTGATTAGTTATGTAGTATGCATATGGAGTAAAAATCGTTTCCGCGCTACTTCTCTGCAACTACGGGCTGGAATTTAACGAATCTTTATGGGAACCTTCAATACCAAGAGGAGATGGGCATATCGTCGGCTTGTTCCGGTCAGACACTTTAACTCAGAGTTATGGCCCTTGATTAGTTATGCAGTATGCATATGGAGTAAAAATCGTTTCCGCGCTACTTCTCTGCAACTACTGGCTGGAATTCAAAGAAACTTAAGGGAACCTTCAATACCAAGAGGAGATGCGCATATCGTCGGCTTGTTCCGGTCAGACACTTTAACTCAGAGTTATGGCCCTTGATTAGTTATGCAGTATCCATATAGAAAAATATTTGTTTCCTCGCTACTTCTCTGCTTCTACTGGCTGGAATTCAATGAAACTTTATGGGATACTAAGAGGAGATGTGCATATAGTCGCCTTGTTCCCGGTCAGATACTTATAACTCAGATTTATGGCCCTTGATTAGTTATGTAGTATGCATACATCTCATTGGCATTTCCAGATTTTACTATTTAACACAAAATTATGGCTCTGTTATTGCCCTGAATATTTATCAAGTTCAAAGAATATTACTGTTTATGCCATGATTAATATATAAATAAAGCCTTATGTCTTCAGTTGTTTGTGTTAATAATAACCAGTACTCGCGGGGATATAAATTCAACGAATTTGCTTGTTATATTGGTATTCATGTTTCAGTATTGCCTAGACACTGCATTAGAGGATCATGAGAGTGCTTTAGAATGTTATAGAAAAGCTTTGGAGTTAGATCCTGGCAATCAAAGCTACCAGAATAACCTTGAAATTGCTGAACAAAAGCTACAAGAAATGGCGGCACAGGTAATCTATAAATAGATCTTTGACCCCCTTGAACCATGACCTTTACATACCAACAAATTCAGTTCAAGGAATGTCTATGGTGAACTATTTTTGTTAGTAATCATACAACTTTGGATATCCATTGGTAAAATTGGAGGTTAATCTGGTTTAAACTTCATTTTGATATGTCAGAAAAGATACATGTATTTTGGGTATTGTGAAAAATTTATTTAACTATGCAATAAAATACTGAGAAAAAAGCATTTCTAGGGCATACTGGGCCTTTAATTATTGTAAAATTTAAGTATGAAATAAGAAAGTGAATTTGTTAGTAGGGAAGTCATGAAATATGTACTCTCTACAAACTGATGTATAACTACACTTGCCTATGGCTGTTTATGTATGAAATCTAAATTTAATATGTTATATATATAGCTCTACATGTAACCTGTAAAGTAAACCTTTCAACTTTAGAACACATCGTCACCTAAGTGCAGTAATGGGTTAAGTCCTTCTAAATTTAATAGGAGTTAACCAGTTATTGCACTAAGGTGATGACATGTTGCAAATTTTTCTTGTTGTTTACTCTTAAGAAACTTTTCTCTTTAACTTGACTTGTGCAACTTTTGTTTAATTGTTTATCTTATGAAGTACATGTTGTAAACAAAATGGTTTACTATGAATAAGTTCTTAAATTATAGTCTACTCCACTTACAACGAGATCGGTTTTAATGATATACCGCTTATAATGTACATTCTACTGTGTCCCGGCCTTTTTCCTTCTATTTTCCTTTCATTTTATAACTACATTCCGTTTATAACTAGAATGGTTTAAGCTAAATATTCGCTGTTACATGTGTGATTTTTAGCTCACCTGTCACAAAGTGACATGGTGAGCTTTTGTGATCACTTTTCGTTCGGCGTCTGTCGTCCGTCCGTAAACTTTTACTTTAAACGACATCTCCTCATAAACGGCCAATTTCATCCAAACTTCACAGGAATGTTCCTTTGGTAGTCAACTTTAAAAATTGTTTAAAGAATTTAATTCCAAGCAGAGCTCTGGTTGCCATGGCAACCGAAAGAAAAAACTTAAAATATCTTCTTTTAGAAAACCGAAAGAGCTAGAGCTTAAATATTTTGCATGAAACATCATCTAGTCAGTGTCTACCAAGTTTGTACAAATAAATGCCCTGGGGTAAAAATTGGCCCCATCCCGGGGGTCACTGATTTTCCTTATTTGTATATAGTAAAAACTTAAAAAATCTTCTTTTAAAAAACCGAAAGAGCTAGAGCTTAGATATTAGGCATGAAACATCTTCTAGAGGGTGTCTACCAAGGTTGTACAAATAAAAGCCCTTGGGGTAAAAATTGGACCCGCCCTAGGGGGTCATTGATTTTCCTTATTTGTATATAGTTAAAACTTAAAAAATCTTCTTTTAAAAACCCCAAAGAGCTAGAGCTAAGATATTTAGCATGAAACATCTTCTAGTGGGTGTCTACCAAGTTTGTTCAAATAAGGGCCCTGGAGTTTAAATTGGCCCCGCCCCAGGGGTCATTGATTTTCCTTATATGTGTAGAGTAAAAACTTAAAACACACAAACAGCTAGAGTTTAGATACTAAGCATGAAATATCTTCTAGTGAGTGTCTACCAAGTTTGTTCAAATAAGAGCCCTGGGGTCAAAATTGGCCCCTCCCAGGGTGGTGGGGGTGTCATTGTTTTTCCCTATATGTTTATAGTTAAAACTTTAAAAATCTTCTTATAAAAACCCCAAAGAGCTGGAGCTTAGATATTTATCATGAAACATCTTCTAATGGGTGTCTACCAAGTTTGTTCAAATAAAAGCCCCTGGTTTAAAATTGGCCTTGGGCCAGGGGCCTATATACAGGTGAGTGATTTTAGGGCCATCATGGCCCTCTTGTCATACTTTTAACAAGGTCACTTCGTAACATTTTAATTGTTGGTTTCAGAGTGGATTTAACATGGGTATGGGAGGAATGCCGGGTATGCCAAATCTGGGGTCAATGTTGAACAATCCTGCCATGATGCAGATGGTAAGAACCTCCTGTTTATGTAAATTTTAATTTAATCATGACATGTGATACATGACATTATAAAACCATGTTAGCTGGAGTGACACTTGTTTCAAGCCTTCATTTCTTTTCTTAGATTTTTGCTTCTAATTTATATATACAAAAAGATTTAAGATGCCAGTTTGACTTATTTGACACCAAGTACACTGTTGCTAGAATTTTTATATGTGAAAGTTTGTCTAAAAACAAATTTAAAAGTAGCTGTCATTTTGAAAGTTTAAAGTAACGATTTTATAGATTACTATTATTATAAATGGTGTTATTTAATTACAATACAGGCACAGAGCATGATGACTAACCCTGAGATGCAGAATATGTGAGTATATATATGAGCTGCGTCACAACAAAACCAAAATAGTGTGTTTGCGACCAGCATGGATCCAGACCAGCCTGCGCATCCACGCAGTCTGATCAGGATCCATGCTGTTCGCTTACAAACCCTATAACAAGTAGAGAAACAGATAGCAAACAGCATGGATCCTGATCAGACTGCGCGGATGTGCAGGCTGGTCTGGATCTATGCTGGTCGCAAACACTTTACTTCTGGTTTTGTCATGACACGGCTCATATATTGTTCAGTAGATATTATATCATAGTAATGTATAATGATAAAACTGTCCGACGCAAATCCAGGGGTCACACGTTTGATCCTAGTACAATATATCTCCATTTAAAATTACTAATTATCTTCAACATGGCCTGTTTTATTGGTGATTTTAAAAAACCGGATGTTTATTTCTAGAATCTGAATGAGATTTCACTTTTTATTTCCCCTTCCATCCATTATTTAATGCTGCTTTCTTTATGGGTCAACTTGTGGCATTGACCAGTAAACATTCATTTTGCATTGTTGTCTTATGTTAACCCTAAACATAGTGAATTTATAGGACAGACTTGTGCTGTTTCGACTTTGGGATAGTTTATTGCTGTTGTACAGGGTTTCATAATACAAATCAGTAATAATTTTACAAATTGTCTAAAGATGTTGTCAAAAAGTTAACATTCATTTATTTTTGAAATTAATCTTAAGTTAAACATGAAATATCTAAGGTAATCTCCTTATCATTCTGAGATACATAAATAACATATACGTTGTGAGCAACATTAAAAATACTGTTACAATATGAGGGGTAATAACATGAAATTATGTTTTTCAATATGTCATAATAATCCTTTACAAGATGAAGAAATTATCAGATGATAATATGATCATGTTTTTCTTTTAAAAAATGTTTTATTATAATTTGTTTTATTTTTTTAGGATGTCTAATTTAATGCAGAATATGGGGGCCGGTGGTGGTGGTGGTGATTTTGGTTCTATCATGCAAATGTAAGTATATATATATGTCATAGGAGGGTCATCCATGGCCAAGTGGTTAAGGTTGTTTACATCAAACCACTTGCCTCTCACTGCTGTAGGTTCAAGCCATGCCAGCATCTACGGATTCTTTCATGTGAGAAAGCTAACAAGCTAGCTGAAGGAACGTTGCTGGTTCTATTTAGTTGCCCATATGTGCATGAAATAATGCACATAGGGGCACCAGAGGTATTCCTACACCAGTAAAAGCTGGAAAGTTGCCATATGACCATTACAGTGTTAGTGCAATTTAAAACCCTAGGTCCTAACCTCTACTGCTAAATTTATGTGACAGACCAGTCCAGAACACAAATCTATGAAAATAGTTTATTTCTGTTGATTTTAAAAATCTGTCAACATTGTTATCTATTCTTGAATTTAAAAGATATGTTTTGATAAATTTTTGTTAGGCCAAGAAACAAATAAAGAGTTTCTTGTTAAAAATTCTAATATATTGGAATATTTGTATTCATGAGGGTTTTGTCAGATCAAACTTTTTCTTTAATTTCATGTCTCAATTTGTTTGTGTCTTAAAACTGTTATTTCAATAATCTCAAAATAGTTCAAATGTAAATTTACTACAGTGATATTTGGTTTATTGACATAATATACAGTGTAAACTCCATTATCCAGAATTCATCTCTAATTCGGATGAATTTCCAAATCCCAATTTGACCTTATTTTATAAAAAAAAAACCCAAAAAAACTCGCAAATAGGACTTGTCCTTTTGTAAATCAGGCCAAAAACATTTTTGTATGAAATTATATATTGAATTTTTTCAAGTTCAATATGAGTAGTCTACTTAATTCTTTAAATTATTAATTCAGGGGTCAACAATTAGCACAACAAATGCAACAGCAAAACCCAGAATTAGTCAATCAACTTCGATCACAAATGGGACGACCACCAAACCCAGATGACCCAGCTGCAGATCAGCCCCCACCCGGGCCAGGTGAGTTTTTAATTTGAGTGTAATTTAAGTATATAATAGGGATCCGTGGCCGAATGGTTTAGGTCCTTGACTTCAAACCACTTGCCCACTCATCACTGTAGGTTTGAACCCCACTGAGGACTTTGGATTCTTTTATGTGGGGAAGCTATCCAGCTAGCTTTTGAAACGTCAGTGGTTTTACTTTGGGTGCCTGAAATAATGTATGGAAATGCACCTGATGTCTTCTTCCACTGTTAATTTTGAAAGGTTGCCATATAACCTATTGTTGGTAAAACTACACAATAAAAAATATATATTTAAAAAAAAGTAAATAATTTCTGTTATGGGGTGGTTATACTGTACTTACAGGGTGGATTTAAGTTAAGTATTTTTACAATAGGATAGTTTTTGCTTTACTGATTGACTTGATAAAGTAATAGAAGAATTAATTTTTAAATGAGGAGCTCTGTATATGATAAGTTAAGACTGCTTAAAAAGACTTTCTTGAATCTTCCCTGAAGTCATAGGCTACTTTATTTGAAGTCTTCCCTTAACCTTGACAGTATCAATTAAACATAACCACAACAGTTTTGTTTTATTTTCACTTGAAATTTTCACATCATTTTAATTTATTGTAAAAAATTTTTTTTTCTTCTTCAGAGGATGGAAATGGGCAGATATGAAAACATGTTTAGGAAATTTAGTCACAATTTTAAACATCGCAGACAGTTTTATGTATGGCATTTACACACAATTACCATTGGACCAAGCATGTTGGCAGACATTTTGTTTTGTATTAATGTGTTAAATGTTAAAAAGGAGCTGATGTTGTTCATGAAAATGTTGATTATCAAAATACTTTGTCCGCTGCTTGTACATTTGCAGAAAAACAAAAATGTTGTTTAGAACGGAACATATATTTTTAGCCAATGAAATCACTAGATGGTAGTTTAAAATAATCACAACTAATCAGTGAAGTTTAGGCTATTTGCAGGCTTTTTGGTAGCTCCGCCTTCAACTGTAACATTGTAGCTCCGCCTTCGACTGTAACAGGGTCACACTTCTTCAGGTGTGTGTATTTTGATTATTAAGTGCAGTGGTTTCAAAAAGGGATTTCATTGACTGAAAATGTAGGCTAAATTCAAAGTTGGTTAAAATGTATTATGTAAAATCTTACAGAGCAGGGAGAGGCTTACTCATGTGTAATTGCTCCGCCTTCCCTCAATGAATTTTTTAACTATGTTTGTTCTCTAACCGTATGTCATATTTAATATTTTTGTAAATTTGATATATTAATGGGGGAAAAGGAATACTCGGTAATGTTGATTTAATAAATAATTGAAAAATATGGCCATTGAAAGGTATATTAGTTAAACTTAGTGCTAATTATAAATCTTGATGTGTGTAACATTAATTAAATAAATTTGAATGGAGATATTTGTAAAAATGAGATAAAATGAATGACACAAAAAAATAAATATGTTTTAAGATTTTCTTTTTGTTTGGTTTTAAATGTTGGAATTCAATATTGTATCATGTTGGTTTTTTTTCTCTTTTTTCCAGCAGTTTTCAAAAAAGTTATAAAAGTTTTAATCAAAATTCTATTTATTTATGATATAACGTTATTGTATTTTATGGAAAAATGACATTAAATGAATTATCATTATCATATTAATTAACAATGTCATAATTTTAGAGGACAATGAATTTGTATAAATGAATTGTATATAAATTACAGAGCTAAGTTGCTATTGTAATATAGCACATTTATCTGTGAAGAAAAAGTAATGCTAACTGTTGTATGTTTAAAGGAATACAAGATTTATTTAGTTTTTAAATGTTCATTTTGATGATGGCAGGACATTGTTATTGTAGAATATTCCATCCATCACTATGTTGTGAAAATTTAGCCAATTTTGTTACTGTCTGTTTCAAATAATGACTCGGAAAGCATTTGATAGGGTAATCATAATGGTTTCTTGCATATTAGACTGGTGTTTCTGTTAGTTTTACCCATGCCGGAAATTTCATCGGGCAATCTGATGTGTTTGAAGTTTGGGTCAGAAATTCCAACTTAATAAGTTTGTTATTGCCGTGGTTAGCCCAAATCATCTTTGATTTTGTTGGTGGGCCGTAAAACCAACCACAAACATCAACAACGTCATACTAAATCACATTATATCCAATACAAATTACTTACTGTCTGGTCATATCTGTATGTGATGCAAGTTATATGTATTATTTTATTTATTGCAAAGTATCTACAGGTCTACAATGAAATTAGTCGTTTTTCAGGTTAAAGTTATAAGTTATAAAGATTTTTGACAGGTTGTATGGTTTAGTTGAAAATTGGTTATAAGCTTATATAACCCAAGCTGCTTGATGAGGGTTATATTTCAAACCAATGTTTATATGTGGCCATATAACCTATCAGAAATCTGTATAAAATATTGATAATACAGCATACTTCCTTTATTTGAGAAATAATTAAACTTACTTGAAAAATTTACTTCAGCCGTTTATAAAGATTATACTTTTATAAAGATTATATGTTTGTATATACATGAACATCAAGATTATCCAATGATAATTGACATTACAAATGCACAAGTCTTAAAATGATGTTAGTTCACTTGTATTTGAAAATTAGCAAATTAGGTTGAATTTTTACAATATTATATTATTACTTAGGCTTTGTTGAAGATTATAAACATGGAATTAGTGCTTAATTAACGTTCAACAAGTGCTTAATTAGGGTTACTTAAGTGCTTTGTAAAGGTTACAGATCAGTTCATCATAAGGAAAATTGGAGTACTTTTATGCCTTTTGTTGTGTCAAAGAAATGTCACTGAATAAAACATTTCTATGCTGCCAAAAGAATGTCTTCTTATTTTTGCTAAGAAAAAAAATCATTTTTTCCCTGCTAAATGTTCATTGTAACGATCATTTGCTTTACCTTGCCCTATTTCCGAGTGCAATGTTAATACGGGGAACTGTTTCTAAATTGTACTGTATGATATAGTTATGACATGAAACTAATATCGCACTAGTCCTGCATTGCCGTATATGTCATATTCTTAATTTCATATCCACATGTAGTGCTCTAAATCGATAAAAAAGGAGTAGGATTTATGGCTTTGTGACAAGATTATTGTTTTGTTCACATTTTTGTTGAGCATTAAAGGAACTCCACTGAGGTCCAAAAGCCTAAAAAAATGAAATTTGAATTTTTTTTTACAAAGATGACCTTGGGCTCTTTAAAGTGGAAAGATATGCAAAAGATAATAAGAAATATTTTCAGATTAAATTGAAAATCATATTTTTAATGCCATTTTAGCTCAATTTGAATGAAAAGCATTGCAAAGCTTTTCAATTTTGGATAATTTTCCTCAACAAGTATAATCATTTTGGAAAAAAGGAGTGAGCGATTGATCTGAAATTTTGCATACAAATTACTGGTCTAGACCATTATCATAAAGAACATTTATCTTCAAAAATTCTTCCCAGTCCTGTCATGTAAAAAAAACTTAGTGGAGTCCCTTTTATTTTTTTACACACACAGACTGGCAATTCTAATTTATCTTTATCTTAATTAAAGATTTTAGTCTAAAATTTGTTACCCAACATCAATTAACTTTTATAGTTCTTTACAAAAATTGATCATGCATTTGGGGGTCAAGGACTACAAAGTAAATTAGGTCGTCTCACATGAAGAGACTCTATATAGTGCTGACAAAAAACACTCCCAGTATATGTTCATATGTGTGTTATAATTATTAGATGAAATTGATTATTTCAAAATTGCAGTTATTTAAAGATTAAATTAACGTCACAATTTTGACCAATGAAGATTGTTGTTACAAACATGCAGTGTTACATGGGTGATAAAAGATGCAATTATTGTAAAGTACTTGTACTTGGCAGTTCTCAAAGTGGTTGTTATAGTTTATAAATGTATGTCAATAGGATTTACTTTGACCCATACATACAAAAAATTTTGCATTGTTTTTTAGCTCACCTGTCACAAAGTGACATGCTGAGCTTTTGTGATTGCTTTTCATCTGGCGTCCGTCCGTAAACTTTTACTTTAAACGTCATCTCCTCATAAACAGCTAAGCCAATTTCATCCAAACTTCACAGGAATGCTCCTTGCTTGTTCAAAGAATTTAATTTCAAGCAGAACTCTGGTTGCCATGGCAACCGAATGTAAAAAACTTAAAATATCTTCTTTAGAAAACCGAAAGAGCTAGAGCTAAAATATTTGGCATGAAACATCATCTAGTCAGTGTCTACCAAGTTTGTTCAAATAAATGCCCGGGGGTCAAAATTGGCCCCGCCCCGGTGGGGTGGTCATTGATTTTCCTTATTTGTATATAGTAAAAACTTAAAAAATCTTCTTTTAAAAAACCAAAATAGTAAGAGCTTAGATATTAAGCATGAAACATCTTCTTGTGGGTGTCTACCAAATTTGTTCAATAAAAGCCCTGGGGTAAAAATTGGCCCCGCCCCAGGGGGTCATTGTCTTTCCCTTTATGTTTATAGTAAAAACTTAAAAATTCTTCTTTTAATCAAGTCAAAGTCAACTTGACTTGACTTCTTTTAATAACCCAAAGAGCTAGAGCTAAGATATTTAGCATGAAACATCTTTTAATAAGTGTTTACCAAGTTTGTTCAAATAAGGGTCCTTGGGTAAAAATTGGCCCCGCCCTGGGGGCCATTGATATTCCTTATATGTGTATAGTAAAAACTTGAAAATCTGCTTATAAAAAACCCAAAGAGCTAGAGTTTAGATACTAAGCATGAAATATCTTCTAGTGAATGTCTACCAAGTGTGTACAAATAAAAGCCCTGGGGTCAAAATGGGCCCTCCCAGGGAAGGGGGGAGTCATTGCTTTCCCCTATATGTTTATAGTAAAAACTTAAAAAATCTTCTTATAAAAACTTAAAAGAGCTAGAGCTTAGAAATTTATCATGAAACATCTTGTAATGGATGTCTACCAAGTTTGATCAAATAAAAGTCCCTGGTTTAAAATTGGCCTTGGCCCAGGGGCCTATATACAGGTGAGCGATTTCAGGGCCATCATTGCCCTCTTGGTTCTTATGTGAAATCTTAGCTGATTCTTGGATGTACTCTGAAGATAGGTATAATGGGAAATAAATCCAGATAAGGTGAAAACCAGCATACAAAATAACCTGATATTTAATTAGTAAAGAGCCTAGTGGTTATGGTTGGTTAAGGTTGTTGACTTCAATTCACTTGCCCCTCACCGCACTGGGTTCTAATTCCGCTAGGGACTTTGGATTCTTTCATGTGAGTAAGCTATGCAGCTAGGTTACGGAACTCATTGCTTTTACTCTTTTGCAAGCTCATGCCCGAAGTAATGCACGTAGGGTTACCCGTGGTCTTCCCTAGCTATGATCTTTACTGTATTGGTGCGACATTAATTGGATCGAGAAACGGTCATTTATTCACAGATGCATGTATTACTGATGTTATGATGATTGTCAATTTGTCATTACAAGTTTGAAACATATTATGTTGGGTCGTTATCATGTTAGAAGAACCATTTTGTCATATTTAAAGGAACTCCGCTGAGGTCAGTTAGTCTAAAAATAGAATTTAAAATTATTACATACATCAACAGTGGGACCAGTTAACCTCGGATTTAATACAGATTTAAAGTAGTTCTACCACGTGGTTCCAAAATGCCAAAAGTAAAAGTAATCTTCGATAATGTAATACATAATGTGATACGAGTGTGTATATATTTGACATCCAAAGGAAAATAAAGTCTGTTTCGGTACAATCATGATTGAAATGTGTCTGACAATCATCTCTTATTTGAATATGCTTGAATTCACTGGTTTTATGTGGACTTTTACGTTATATTTTGGAAACAAACTTGTCAACAACTCCCAACATTAAATTACTTTTTGTTTACATGTTAAGTTTCTTAGCGTAGGTTAGACCGAAAAATCATATCCGTTCTGTGTATTTATACTCCTTATCCGAAGACTGAATCAGAATTAAATTGAAAATCGATATTTTGTGTGTTTTTATGCCCCCACAATGTGGGAGCATATAGCGTTGCACTTGTCCGTCCGTCCGTCAGTCTGTCCGTACGTCCCGAAATCTTGTGAACGCATCTTCTCTTAAACCGGATGGCAGATTTTGCTTAAACTTACAGGGATGAACAACCTTAATGTGTAGATGGTAGTAAAGGAAGGAATTTTCGCTGCGACCAAATTTAACAGAATTATGGCCCTTTGTTGATTTTTTCACTAGATACTATGTAGAAATTTTGTGAACGCAACTCCTCTTAAACCGGATGGCAGATTTTGCTTAAACTTACAGGGATGAACAACCTTAATGTGTAGATGGCAGTAAAGGAAGGAATTTTTGCTGCGACCAAATTTAACAGAATTATGGCCCTTTGTTGATTTTTTCACTATATACTATGTAGAAATTTTGTGAACGCAACTCCTCTTAAACCGGATGGCAGATTTTGCTTAAACTTACAGGGATGAACAACCTTAAGGTATAGATGGTAGTAAAGGTAGGAATTTTCGCTGCGACCAAATTTTACAGAATTATGGCCCTTTGTTGATTTTTTCACTATATACTACAGTATGTAGAAATTTTGTGAATGCAACTCCTCTTAAACCAGATGGCAGATTTTGCTTAAACTTACAGGGATGAACAACCTTAATGTGTAGATGGCAGTAAAGGAAGGAATTTTTGCTGCAACCAAATTTAACAGAATTATGGCCCTTTGTTGATTTTTTCATTATATACTATGTAGAAATTTTGTGAACGCAACTCCTCTTAAACCGGATGGCAGATTTTGCTTAAACTTACAGGGATTAACAACCTTAATGTGTAGATGGTAGTAAAGGAAGGAATTTTTGCTGCGACCAAATTTAACAGAATTATGGCCCTTTGTTGATTTTTAGTTTTTTTCACTATATACTATGTAGAAATTTTGTGAATGCAACTCCTCTTAAACCGGATGGCAGATTTTGCTTAAACTTCCAGGGATGTACAACCTTAATGTGTAGATGGTAGTAAAGGAAGGAATTTTTGCTGTGACCAAATTTAACAGAATTATGGCCCTTTGTTGATTTTTTCATTATATAATTATATACTATGTAGAAATTTTGTGAACGCAACTCCTCTTAAACCGGATGGCAGATTTTGCTTAAACTTCCAGGGATTAACAACGTTAATGTGTAGATGGTAGTAAAGGAAGGAATTTTTGCTGCGACCAAATTTAACAGAATAATGGCCCTTTGTTGATTTTTAGTTTTCAACTTGCGGCACATGTAGTCCAAAAAATATTTGACCTAGAGTCATAAGATTGACAGAACAGTGGCGTCGGGGGGCATCTGTGTCCTATGGACACATTTCTAGTTTTAGCCTGATTTGAGTGAAAAGCGTTGCTTTTCATTGTTTGGCCATTTGCACAATAGAAATGATAAGTCTGGGGAAACGGAATGAGGGAATGATCGGAAAAATTGCACACAAGTTACTGATCCAGAGAGACCTCCCTGAAATAGTACACAAATCTCGGCAAATCTCGGAAAAAGTATTTCCAAAACAATCATGTCAAAAACCTCAGTGGAGTCCCTTTGATATGCAAGTTAATTGTCGGATATATTACTCATTGAAATTGCTCAGTGTCATTATGTACAGGTTAAACAATGCCGTATAATTTGATATTAAGGTTTTGCATTGGTATATATTTGAAATATGTCATAATTTTGTCAAAATAGTGGGAGATACAGAATCTTAAATTTAAAGGTTATAATTATGTTGTACATGTATGCATTTATTATTGATGGCATCGAAGAGCATTTGCAAAATATGGACCTCTCAATCGTAAATGTTATCTTTTTGTTAACCCCAGAATCTGACGAGTTTCTTAAAAATGGACCTGTCCAGCTTCCCTTTTTCTCGAAAGTGCTCATTGTCATTTTTTTGGTTTAACGTGGGACAACCAACAGTACAAAGCCTAGTCAGACAAGCAAAGCTGGCAAAGACTTATCTGTTTCGGTTCTGGCAGGCTATGTTCATTTTAACAATTTTGATTCAGTTAGACATCCGAATATTTTTTGATATCTGTAGTATTAATGTATATATTAATCTGTTTATAAGTTGTATTGTGAACAATGGATAGACTGGTGATACATTTACTGTAAACTCTGTAGTAAGAGTGCTGCTAATTAAAGGAGTTTTTACCAAGTATTGGCTTTGTTTCTTTTTTTGTTTTAACATGCTTTAATGATAAATATTTCAGTTGAAGTCGCAAACATTGTTATTATAAATGTAAATTATATTACAAGTACTGACGAGATATACGGAAAATAGCCTTCCTAGCGCCTCGGGTCATATTTATCTCATTTTAGCTATATTCTTCCGTATATCCAGTCAACAAATTGTATAACTTATATCAAATCAATCTTCTATGTTTACAATAAAGATTTTTTTTATCTGAATTTTAAGGAATATTTATATACGTTGCATTAAAGTAAAAAAGTTACATTTTGCTGCGAAGGAGGTGGCGATGGCGTCTGTAAATAAATCACATCAAGAAATATGTTAAGTTTTTACTTGCCGAAAATGTATGTAAGGACAAAGCGTTGCAAAAATTGTTTGTCGTTTGTTAGTCTGGTTTTTACACCGATTCCAACACATATTTGGTCATATCTTGGCTGTCAGTCCACCTAACCGACTTTCCTGGATAACTAACCAGTAATTACCAATCTCTCCGCAAGTGGATAGATAGATAGATACTTTTGTGTTGTCGTTTTCTGACGGCGTATACAGTCATATTCATGTAGTTACTTGTTAATAAACTACATGTAGTTAATCTTTTGTCTAAGATGATCTAATTGGAATGGATTTGCCAAAATTATATAGGATTAATGTTTAATAGAGCGCTATATAATGCAATTTGTTTTCTTAATGACCTAAACATCAACAATAACTTTAGACAATTACCAACAAATGCTTAGTTTAAAATTTCAAAAAAAAAAACAAAACAAAAAACAAAAAAAAACAAAAAACGGAAATCGTATAGTCCTCTCAGGACAAAAGCATATCTAACGTAGAAGAACAAAAATAAATTTCAATGAACAAAACATGTTCATATTATCACATAATGCTCGCATTCTGATTCAATGTTGAAGCAAGAAAAGTTAAATATTTTACATAGAGCTATTTTTGCAAGTATTGCATTAAATTTAAAGAGTTTCTTTTTGATATTGGTACGTGATTGGAACCCTACAAAGACAAACTTAATCATAGGTAATAATCAGTGCTAAAGTGAGATCAGGTTGGCAACTTTTAGATGAATTTCACTTTAAAATCCACATGGTTGTATACATAATTAAATTTTTTATTCATATAAAAAGTAAATCTTTAAAAATCTGTCTTTCAGTTATATAAGTTAATCATTATATGCGTTTATGCCGGCATCAGAATCTTTTTCCACAGTTTTCTTTTAGCGTCTGTCGGATAGGGATGCCAAACGCTTCAACGTTCTCTTAAATAAATTACCGTCATTTACAGTCACTTTTTTTCTAAACAAATTCTTCTGCTTATTATCCATACATTCCTCCGTACTTTTTTGATTTCTTGTAATTCTTCTTCGGAGGTGGTGGCGGAGGAGGTCTGTATTTCTTCGGGGGAGGTTTATATTTCTTCGGCGGAGGGCGGTATTTCTTCGGCGGAGGGCGGTATTTTTTCGGTGGAGGCGGTCGCTTTTTAGGCGGAGGTCTATATTTCTTTGGAGGTGGAGGCCTGTACTTTTTTGGCGGAGGTCTTCTCTTTTTAGGAGGGGGTCTATATTTTTTAGGCGGAGGTCTTCTCTTTTTAGGAGGTGGAGGTCTATATTTTTTAGGCGGAGGTCTTCTTTTTTTAGGAGGTGGAGGTCTATATTTTTTAGGCGGAGGCCTATATTTTTTAGGTGGAGGTCTATATTTTTTAGACGGAGGCCTTTTAGGAGGGGGCCTATATTTTGGTTTCTTTGATGGTGGCCTATACTTCTTTGGTGGTGGACGAGGTCTTTTCTTAGGTTTGTGCTTATAAGATTTTTGCAGGTTTTTGTTCTTATATCCTTGGCCATATTTCTTTTTCTTCTTTTTATTCTGGTAAGACATTCCACCTTGTCCACCATGGTTTCCACCATACGAGCTACCTTGACTACCATATCCCACTGAGCTTTCATATCCTCGTGAACTACCTCCGCCACTAGGGCCATAATCATAATCATAGCTAACACCACCTCTACTTGAACTGCTTCCATAGTCAGGGTAGTCTACACTATAACCTCCTCCTCCTCGTGTGTCTGCAGGCCCGTAGTCAGTGCCACCGCCGCCAGAATACCCGTAGTCCGGACCATATCCACCGCCACCTCCGCCCGTTCCTCCATAGTCGGCACCGTAGTCAGCTCCTACCCCAGCACCGCCGTATTCGGGAAGACCGCCCCCATAGTCAGGTCCTCCAGCACCGTAGTCGGCACCGTAACCTCCACCGCCATAGTCTGCCGTCCCCTGGGATTGTACCAACGCCAAACAAGATCCAAAGATGATAACCAAAAACATAGCTGAAACAAAACAGAAAAGGAATAAAACCATTTTAGGGTTTATTTAATAAGATTCATATATAGGACCCTTTTTAACAAAATAAGTCCAAATTGTACCAGTAACAACATATTCTACGCGAAAATCATATTTTATAAACAGTATTTGACCAGAAACGGCATTAAATGTATTGTCATTAACCAAATTATCACAGACAAGTTAAAATGACATTTTTCATAGTCGAGTTTAAATTTATTTATTATTCAACAACTTTTAAATATAACTATACACGTCGAGCATTACTAAGGCTCTCTAAAATCCAAAGCACTCGTACGTGTTCTTTTTGTTTTTTGTTTTTGTTTTTGTTGCTTTACTTAAGACTTAGTCCTGGTAATGATTGGTAACACGTGATCATGACAATATTAATTCATGTGGGTGTTTCTAAATATTACATTGCTTTAACAAATTAGTTTATATTATAATAAATTGAGGATAAATGGTGATGTTAGTCATGTAAATAATTGTCAAAATTCCAAGTAACCATAAATATCACTAATGATTTTTTGCAAACCTCAAATTAAAAAAGTAGCAATTAAACACAGTAAACGAAACAATTTCCATCGGTCTTTTTTCCTTTTATTTCTATGTTGAGTATTATATTCTGTTACCTACAAAATATTACTAATGTTCGATTTCTTTTTTTTTTTTGCTTGTATGTGTAAACAAATCTTTCTCAAAATAGACACAGCCACGATACTCGATTTTCAATCGGGACATTAATACTAAAACTTCTATGTATTTTTGAATTAGATATATTCATCCTTACATAAAAATTAAGATACTATGTCATTTGAATTTCGTATAAGATATGTTCTATTATGTTCTGTATGTGGATTTAACTGAAAAACCGTTTTGTTTATAGTCTGATCAGTATCCATGCTGATCTCTTACCAACTCTATTTAAAGTAGAGAAACTGATAGCGAACAGCATGGATCCTGATCAGACTGCTCGGATGCGCAGGCTGGTCTGGATCCATGCTGGTCGCAAACGCAATATGTTGGTTTTGTCGTGACACGGCTCATATGTCTTTCTTTCCATACCACAACCACTACCACTACTAAAAAAACGACAACGACGACGACGACGACGACCACCACCACCACAACAACAACAGCAGCAGCAAAAATACAAAACGTTTTTCTCTGCATTAAAAGAGTGCACAAGAGTACTTTTATTATTATAAACTGCTATTTTCAGCTCACCTGTCACAAAGTGACAGGGTGAGCTTTTGTGATCGCTTTTCGTCCGGCGTCCGTCCGTCGTCCGTCCGTAAACTTTTACTTTAAATGACATCTCCTCATAAACCACTCAGCCAATTTCATCCAAACTTCACAGGAATGTTCCTTTGGTGGTCACCTTTAAAAATTGTTCAAAGAATTTAATTCCATGCTGAACTCTGGTTGCTATGGCAACCGAAAGAAAAAACTTTAGATATCTTCTTTTGAAAAACCCTAAGAGCTAGAGATAAGATATTTGGCATGAAACATCTTCTAGTGAGTGTCTACCAAGTTTGTTCAAATAAAAGCCTTGGGGTCAAAATTGGCCCCGCCCTAGGGGGTCATTGATTTTCCCTATATGCATATAGTAAAAACTTAAAAAATCTTCTTTTAAAGAACCCAAAGAGCTAGAGATAAGATATTAAGCATGAAACATCTTCTAATGAGTGTCTACCAAGTTTGTTCAAATAAAAGCCCTGGGGTCAAAATTGGCCCCGCCCCAGGGGTCATTGATTTTCCCTATATGCATATAGTAAAAACTTAAAAACCTCTTTTAAAGAACTCAAAGAGCTAAAGCTAAGATATTTAGCATGAAACATGTTCTAATGGGTGTCTACCAAGTTTGTTCAAATAAAAGCCCTGGGGTCAAAATTGGCCCCGCCCCGGAGGTCATTGATTTTCCTTATATTTGTATAGAAAAACTTAAAAAATCTTCTTTGAAAAAACCCAAATAGCTAGAGTTAAGATATTAAGCATGAAACATCTTCTAGTAAGTGTCTACAAAGTTTGTTCAAATAAAACATGTAAAAGCCCTGGGGTCAAAATTGGCCCCGCCCCAGGGGTCATTGATTTTCCCTATATGCATATAGTTAAAACTTAAAAAACCTCTTTTAAAGAACTCAAAGAGCTAGAGCTAAGATATTTAGCATGAAACATGTTCTAATGGGTGTCTACCAAGTTTGTTCAAATAAAAGCCCTGGGGTCAAAATTGGCCCCGCCCCGGGGGTCATTGATTTTCCTTATATGTGTATAGCAAAAACATAAAAATCTTCTTTGAAAAAACCGAAATAGCTAGAGTTTAGATATTAAGCATGAAACATCTTCTAGTAAGTGTCTACAAAGTTTGTTCAAATAAAAGCAATGGGGTCAAAACTGGCCCTGCCCCAGGGGTGTCATTGTTTTTAACTATATGTGTATAGTAAAAACTTAAAAATCTTCTTTTAAAAAACCCAATGAGCTAGAGCTTAGGTGTGTAGTAAAAACTTAACATCATGAAACATCTTCTAATGGGTGTCTTTCAAGTTTGTTCAAATAAAAGCCCTGGGGTTTAAACTGGCCCCGCTCCTGGGGCCTATATACAGGTGAGCGACCTCAGGGCCATCATGGCCCTCTTGTTTAACCTGTAATTCAACGCATAAGATCGCGAAAATTTTGGAATTCAATCACGGTTTTGAGATTGTCACATTATTTGATATACTTTAGAATTCCGGGTACCCTCCAATAAATTTCCAGGATATCTTAAAGTAACAGCAAAGTTATCTATAAAAATATTACTTGTAAAAAAATGGAGTAATATTTTCTTTCACCATATATAAAAGTCACGTGGGTTGGCTACATAGTAGAGGTGTTAAAATATAATTGTAATACACCCTTTGTTAGCCATTGAAATAGTATTTTATGTATAAAGGATTTTCAAAAATGGTTATTATTCAGAGCGGGCGCTATGGTGCAGTGGTAACACTGTCTGCCTACAAATCAAGGGGTCGTGAGTTCGATCCCCCGCTACTCCACTGAACGAATAAATGACTACAAGACTGACAAAACCAGGACATAGACACATAATGACGGCAACGATAGAAACAAGAGAAGACCTTAACGGAACAGGAAACAAGTACCGAAAGTACAAGACCGAAGACGACGACCGATAACAGAAGGAAGAACGGAGACAAGAACTGACAACAAGGGAACAGAGACGAGGACCGCTAACAGAAGAACAGAGACAGGGACCGATAACAGAAGAACTGACAACAAGACAACGGAGACAGGAACCAATAATAGAAGAATTGACAACAAGACAACGGAGACGAGGATTGATAACAGAAAAAAAGAGACGAGGACCGATAACAGAATAACATAGACCAGGACTGATGACAGTGGAATGGAGACGGGGATCGATAACAGAAACGGGAACCGATAACAGAAGAATTGACAACAAGCGAACAGAGACAGGGACCGATAACAGAAGAATTGACAACAAGACAACGGAGACGAGGATTGATAACAGAAAAATAGAGACGAGGACCGATAACAGAATAACATAGACGAGGACTGATGACAGAAGAATGGAGACGGGGATCGATAACAGAGACGGGAACCGATGACAGAAGAATTGACAACAAGAAAACGGAGACCAGGACTGATTACAGAAGAAAAGAGACGAGAACGATGACAGAAGAACGGAGAAGAACGAAGACGAGAACCGATAACAGAAGAACGAAAACGACGACCGACAGCAGAAAAACAGAGACTAGGACCGATAACAGAAGAATTGACAACAAGACAACGAAGACTAGGATTAATAACAGAAAAATTGAGACGAAGACCGATAACTAAAGAACTGACAACAACACAGAAGAATGGAGACGGGGATCGATAACAGAGACGGGAACCGATGACAGAACATCTAACAACAAGAAAACGGAGACCCGATAACAGAAAAACAGAGACGAGAACCGATAACAGAACATCTAACAACAAAATAACTGAGACAACGACCAATAACAGAAGAACTGACCACAAGAGAACTACGACGAGGACCAATAACAGAAGAACGAAAGTCACGACCAATAACAGAAAAACTGACAGCAGAGAAATGCGACGAGAACTGATAACAGAAGAACGGAGACGACGACCGGTAACAAAAAAAAACGAACACCATAACCCAAGAGTACTCAGAGAAAGGTGCCTTTAATTTTGCATGCCCCTCAGACATACGCTGTGTAAATATAAGTAGGCATCTGAGTAGCCACTCTCTATATGCTTGCATAGAATGCCAAATAAAATACATGAAAGCTCTATATCTATATATAGCAGATAGGACAGGAAAGAGTGTAGTGTTCGCTGCGTAAATGCCTTAAAGTTTTCAGTACTATCTTTACTATCTTTAATATTACTTCTATATTACTATTATATTGTCCTATAGAAAACTGTCTGCCATCTTGGATTTTTTGACCATATTGGATTGTTTTGTTTTTTTTTAATTCTGTTTTAGTGTCTTATTTGTTTTTTTTTTATTTAAACATGCTATGTGACAAATTTCAGGCTTTTCCTTTCCTTAAAAGTTTTAATTGATCTATCATCCATTTATGATAAAGAAATTTGGCGGCCATTTTAGTGGTCATTTTAAATGGCCATTTCAATGGTCAAGATCAAGTTTTTCAATTTGGTATCCACCTTTATCGGATTCAGCATACCTTAAATAGGTAAATATACACCAAGATACCACTTATACTACAAAATGCTTCTAGCATAGGGAGCCAAATTATCAAAATCAGTCCTGAATAAAATAGAAACATGTCAATATTTTGATTCTATGTAAACCGAGTGAAGATACTAAAATATTGTTGCATATCCAAAGTTTCAAGGCACTATATTCGTAATTTATAATAACAATATATATTACATTATGTATTATGATTACAGTATTTTTATATTTTAGGCAGGATTTATATTTTGCCTTAAACAGTTTTATGATTAGCCATTATAATAGTCAATCATTTGAAATACGCAGC